GAATCTCGCTTTAATGTTTTAATAATGGACGCTGTGCATATTTAAGCAAAGATTTTGCGCAAGACTTGGCACGCACGGTTACATCAACGCGATATTAACGTTATGACACGCTATCGGCGCTTCTTGCGCATTCAACTTAATAACTCGAAGAGAGTAAGGAAAAAGACACTTGATGTGATACTCGAATATATATATTAACGAAAATTGCCTTATTATTATCACAGAGAGAATGGACCAGCTCATCGCGGTCAATTTTAACAAGAATAAAAAAGAAAAAGAAAAAATTTGAGAAGAATGCACTTATTACTTCATCTACAGAAGTGACTCTTTTCAAAGAGTTTGAGAAACCTTGATACTTCGCGAATCACATACAATTTGCGCGAGAAGATTTTATCAATATTTTCAATCGCAAATCGTTTAGCATATGTTTTTCAAACATTTATGACAGACCGTAAATGACAAAATTCATCTTTACATCGACAACGCTCTAACGATGTTAAAATAAATTCCGTCCCATTTCTCGTAATTATCTTAAATCCGTAAAGTATTAACGAAGAAAGGGGAGCCGTATACGCTTCGATTTAACGCGAAGTGATCCTTTGGAAATGTCACCGTTGCGCGATCTCCGGTTTAGCGATAACTACCCGCGGAGCGTGTCGTGAATATCAAGTATTTTCCCGAATCAGGAAAACTTGCGAAACTTGTCTTGTGTCTGCTGCAGTGATAACACGGGTGTCGCGGGTGAAAGATGGATCGGTTACGCGAGTGTATTTAATACGGCAATACACACATACACGATCACGCAATGCGCCTCGTATTATTATGTAATTGTGCGGGGGGGGAGGGAGAGTGGAGTTTACGCCGCCTGTACAGCGTTTTACGATTCAATGCGCCCGCAGCCTACAACGATACCGTACGTTATTAACGAATAAAAGACGATATTGCCTACAAACTTTATAGAAGAATACTTGCCGTGCTTCGTGCCCCGGCCGGATAACGAAACATAAAACCACTCGATAAAGACCTTCGATATTACCGGACCCTGAATAAAAAGGTCACTCTTAAACCCAGCCGAACGACCAACGGGGCGCGGAGGATAAAGTTTGAAACTTTTTCAATTTTCGATACCATTACGGGTTTCGATATATTTAATCTCCCTTCTCGAATTGTAAAATTCACGTTCGCCTCGAATCGCGTTAAGCGTTATATCGCGCGTTAATATTACAGCGGGGACGTTTGCACATGAACGATATCGTCGATAAGCTTGCTTTCAGACAGGTAAGGAATTCAGATGACACTTTCGCATTTCGAAGCCCGCGCTCGAATTTCCTTTCGAGGCACGTCGATCTCGAGGCGGAGCATCATCGGAGATACGAAATACGTGCCTTCGACTTCTTTTCACGTGACTTCTGCATTTCCCTTCGATCGGGAGGTCGGGAGTCGGAGGGTCGACGCCGTCCTTCGCGACGGTATGAACGAGACGACGTTATCAAAGTCGCGCGACCGGAAACGGCCACGAAACGATCGAAGGGAAGAATTCTCGTCGCACGAGGGAGGAACAAAGGAGGCACCGACGAATCGTCGTGCGCTAAACATTATGCGACTCGTTGCGCCGGCAAACGCGCAAAATTACGGTTCTGTAACGCCGTACAACATCATTTCGCATTAGCGCAACGATAACCGACCGCATCGCACGTATGTTGCACGCGCGTTACATAATAAACGCGTGCCCCATTGTTTATTGCATAACCACGTTACGGTACAGCTATCGCTATGGTGTCTGGCACTCGCATGGTTGACTATAACACGTGACTATACAGTATACAGCGGTGCGCTCGTTATCCCAGAGATTTACTGCACCACATTTCAATTCCCACAACAGTTTAAAATTAGCTACCTTTCCTTCAGATTCGCTTGAATTCCCTTAGAAATTAATTACAGGATTGCGTTGTAGATTTCTTTATGTATTCCCCAGAAATCCAACTTTTCCTAGTTGCAAAAATAATGTGCGGTCGGTCACGAAAACTTAGGAACGACGAGGACATTAAGAATGTAGAGAGAACGCTTATATTCACGTGATAATATATCGTGGACCTAGTATGTCACGGGAAGGCGAAACGGAGGTCAAAGTTGAAAGCTGACCAAATATAAGAGCTCCTTTGCTCTCACCATGATGATCCCCGTCATCTATTGACGTGAGTGGCACGTCCGTTGCGATCTGTTGATCTATCACGCACGTGAGAGAGGAATTCTGTTATTCGACAAGTACTCTTCTCTACATAATACAGATGACTGATACGTATTATTCTTAATGTCAAATATATTTGTAATCGATCGCAAGTTAAAAAGTACCATTAAAATTCTGTTCGACTCGTTTACTGGATCGTCATGCGAGTCCACACGTATCGTACATATACAGAAATATCGAAACCGCCAATTTATAAAAAATATGAAACATTTTTAAAAAATGTTTTGAATAAAAAATTTTAAAGTTAGATACGTATAATGCATGCAATACATTTTTTAGAACATGTGTTTTTTATGAGACGTTTTATATATATAAACGTAACTGATATTTTTTTTAATTATATATTTATTTAAATAATTTAATTCCCAATTATTCTGTGTATGAAAATCAAAATTATTAAAAATCAATTTTTACGAAACTATTTTATTTTAACATATTTTGATATAAAATATGAAATACTTTTTAAAATACTAATTTTTCGATTATCTTGTGATACTTTAAAGTTTTTATATACACAATAGAATGAGATATAAATTAATAAATGAAAAACAACATATAACTGCATTTAAAATAAATATGCAGTTCCCCGTTGCAAATTAGAAATCTTTTAAAAATACAATAAATATTTGTGTTGTCAACTGATCATTTTACTCCGTGCATAAAAGAAATAAAATAATCGAATATTTTGATATTTTGTATCAAAATAAGTCATAATTAAATATATTTCATAATTATTTTTTTGTCTCTACTTATTATTAATACTCTAATACGTACAAAAATAATTAAGTTATTTTTAATATTAATATTTGCAGAGTTATCAAGGAATTATGTAAAAAAATATTACGATCTTATTTGAAAAAATCGCCGGAAAGTACATCTCATGAAAATTCACGCTCTAAAAAATTTATTTATACGCATTATACTTCCCTCTTAAAAACTTTTTATCTGAAATTTATTTTACGTCATAATAAAATGTGAAATATTTTCTTCTACTACTGATTTTTTATGACTTTATCTTAACACTTGTATGCAAAATGATTCGAGGAGAATTGTCAAAGCATGAATATAAAGAAAATATTGTTGTTCCATTTAAAAAATATCTCGACGATAAAAAGTTTTTAAGAGGAAAGTATAATGCGTATAAATAAATTTTTTAAAGCGTGAATTTTCATGAAGTGTACTTTTCGGCGATATTTTTTCAAATGAGATCGTAATATTTTTTTACATAATTCCTTGATAACTCTGCAAATATTAATATTGAAAATAACTTAATTATTTTTGCAAATATTAATATTACATAATAAAAATACATGATATAAAAAAATGCGTTGCATGCATTATATTACCCTTTTGCAATATCCTTAAAACTTTTATTTACAACTTTTCCTCAAAATTGCTTCGTGGTTGATATATGTATTTGGAGGTTCCGATGCTTTTCCCTCGCTCTATACATCTACATGAATCGTACATGACCGTAGTCGATGAGAATGAATGCTGTGGTATCGAGAGCCCCTCTGGCGAACGCCATTCGCCATTCTATAGTAAACTCTTTGCCGGTAGTGCTTTCCAGTGACATCGCACTCGTGCGATCTTTGTTCGGCCTGAAGCGTATCGTTTTGCACACGCGTGTTTATGGGTCACGTCGCTCGTTGTTCATTCATGGCCGGAACTTCGCCGCTATCGCGTTCGATCGCGTATAAAACGCGGGAGACATTGTTGTCTAAAGAAGATTATTGTTGGGCGATATTTTACTGAAAGATCCCCTTTAATACTTCTTCATGGCGACTTAGCCTCGTCGCTCAACGACGTGATGATAATAAAGTGAACGCTTCGCTGGCACTGACAATGAGTCGGAGATATATACGGGTGCCGAGAAGCTAACGACCCTAATTCTTCTAATTACGACCGCAGAATGCAATTTTCGTTTCTATGTTCGCTGCACGATTTCTACAGATAACTTGGCGTTTACTATCGCGTTTGCTGCATAATCAATCATTTCTGATTACATTGCAGATAACATCGTTATCTTTATCCTATTCAGAAAAAAATATGATTTTAATATGATGTTTTAATGATTATAATTATCACCTTTAATCTCCCAATTAGTAAATAAATTCCTTAACATTGAAACACGATATAGTTTTCGATTTTTTTGGTCCATTTTGAAATAATGCGAAGTATTTATTCTTATGAGATAGATCTGCTCTTAAATTGTGTAAAGTGAAACGTGAAAGTATTACAACCGAAAATTTTTTTTAAATACATATCCACCATCTTTGAGTGAATTTTCTGAGACATTTCACGTATCCGCATACGATTTCCCCTCTCAAAACTCCGTACGACAAGATAACTCGTTGTCATAGGGCAGATGCACGTATCGCGGAAGATGTCTTCGCGAAACCCTCCTAAGAACAATGCGCCGCCGGCGATTCCCAGGGGCGCAGGAGAAGGGGATGCACACGCGCACCCGCTCGCGCGCTCGGCGGCGCGCGGCGGCAGAGGGGGTGATCGGAACGGAGAAAACCGAGAGAGCGAAAGCCGCGGCACTGTATCTCCCCCTCCCCCCTTCCCTCCCATCCCAATGTGTACTGACAGAGAGAACGCGCTGGGGTGGCAGCAGCTCGACGAGCACGGCGAGGGGTAGCGGCGACGGCGGCGGCGGCGATGGCAGCGGCGGCGGCGGCGGCGGAAGTGTACGGGGGCGCGAGAGAGGAAGGGTGGCAAAGGCGCATGCCAGTTGGGCCCTCGCCGCGCTACGAGTCGGGCAACCCCAGAATTCTCGCCCTCTCTTCGCCGGAACAGCCCGGCACGGTCGCGCGACGTTAACCCTCCTTCGCGCGCGGCGTACTCCGAAGCGGAGCATCTACGGCGGGCCCCGCCGCCCTTTCTACCCTGTCCTTGGCGTCAGCGAGCCACGGGCTCGCCGCCGTTGTCGCCGAGGATGCCGGAGCAGTGATAACAATCGATGATAATAATTGCCGCGCGCCGCTTCCGGCGCGTCCTCCCGTGACCCCGGCGAGGACGATCGACTGCCGTCTGTCTCGCGCGCGCGATCGGGCAGACGATCAGCCTCGGCGGCGCGGCGCCTCGCCATATCTCGCCGGCATCGTACAAGTGGTGTAGCGAGCGTTGAGCGCGACGGAGAAAGAAAATGCGCGGACGTTGCCCCGCGACACCCGGCACGTGATCGTGCACCGGTCGACACCCGGGGGACTCTTCCGGGGTGTCTCTTCGAGTGTGATTATCACAATCGCGAGTGACACGAGTGTCTTGGTCGCGACCTCCAGATAGAAGTTGGTCAGAGGGGGATCTCATCGCGGCGATTAATGAAAGTTGTCCTCATGGATCCGTGGCATTAGTCCTCACCAATGAAATACTTAAATATTTCGGTATATATTTGAGGCTAAATATAATTGCCCGCTTTTCTTTTAGTGTCTAATTTAAAGCCATTTTTATTAGGCAAATATAAAACGTGGAATTGGATGGATTATTTAATGTTGAATGTGCGGTGATAATGTACATTTAAATAGCATTTTATGAATTATCCACGCCTTCATTACGATCTATGTTACTGGTAAAATAGTCTTCTGGAAAATATCCTTGCATTGTATTCGCGAAAATAATTTGAAAATTAGAAAATCAAAAATGCAAAACGAAAAATAGTAATGACAAATTGTCATAGATGGTTATGTGATAGTTTTAATTGGCATACGGTTTTTCATTAATTTTATGTACTTTATCACCGCGAAGATCTTCGAGTCGAGAAAATCACGAAAAAATCATCGTATTGAACCGTCGTATTATGGAATTTACATGAGCCTTCATATCGCGAGAAGTCTCGCTTCGATTTTTACTCCGACTCGAAAGTTCACACGGAAGGGCAACGTACGCGGTAGTTCGGATAGGGTTGATCGCGGAAGGCCAAGGGCGGTGCGAACGGGAGTTGACGAGCAATCGACCCTCGCTCAAACGAAGTTTTGCAATATTCAGATGATCAGAGGATATTCAGGACGCGCGCGTCGCGAAGGCACGTTAATTCGACGCGGTGGTACGCGGAAGGAATTTCGTGAAACATGCAAAGTCCCTCAAAAGGCATTCCACCTCTCGTTGCGCGTTTATTTATCCCAACCGCTCGTCGCTCCGCGGAAACGAATGCTAATCGGGGAGGGATGGAGTAATGTGCTAACTCGTGCGACGAATATTGAGGGTTGAGGGACGCGAGATATACGGGATGGAGACCAAGTTGAAATTGTCGCGCGATACGCCCAACTAATGCGTTTTATCATTAAATACACTTCGTTGAGTGCGCTCCATTGTTTCCGCATTCGCGTCAAATTGATTCGACGCTCGTTGATTTTATTCGAAATGTTTCCGCACGCCTATCCGCGATTTGATAATTCGAACGAAGCTGTCGCGGCTCGTGTCACGGCGCCGACCGTGTGTCTCGATCGATGTTTTAATCAAGAAAATAGTCCGAGTGAAACCACGTATTTACGGTTTCGCCGACGCGACGCGACGCTTGCGACACGGCAAAAACCGGGATGGGGTTTGCTCGTTTGAGGATAGGGTTAAAATCGATGTGGCATTTAAGCGCCGGTAGTTATTTACCTGTATCACGCTACTTTGTTTTTTTTTTATTCGAGAGAGATATATATATATATATATATATATATTTAACGGCAGGATTTTATTCGCGTAACATTGGAAATTTTTGTTCATTAAATCAAGATATAATTTCTATATCAATTTTCTTCGAACGGAATAACAAGCTTCGTGAAAAACATCGTGTTTGGCATTAAACTCGCTCGCGATATATATAACTACCTTTTTAAAGATTATCTGAAAGGTTAAAGAGATTACACGGGAAAGCTATTAAAAAATCAGCGCAATCCAAACGATGCTGGTTACGCTCCCACGAGCGAAAGTAATTGGACGACGGGAATTTATATTTTGCATGAGAAAGAAAAAAATTCTAAGACGTACTCGCTTTTCTCGTAGCGTACGGTGAACAGCCTTTTGATAAAACCGGCGGCGGTTACCGAGAGCGTATAGCGGTGGCAACCTGATTATTCATGTATTCGACTAGCAACTCCGGCAACTCTGTTTTCGATGCACGCTTTACACGCTGCCGAATACATTAACGTCGCTCGCAGAGGCGATAATGCGATGGGAAGATAGTACTCCTTTTCTTTTTTTTTATCCGTAACAAGCATCGCCAAATTACTGGCGATATCGTTCCGAGTAGAGCATAGAATGTAGTGTTTTATCTATCGGAGGTCTCTCTCTCGTAATTTTGACATAATTTTCAATGCCGCGCGTGTGCATTTTATTCGCGTTTAAAGGGTGGATAGAGGGAATAAAAAGAAATGAATTATCACACGTATCGCGTTTGTATACCTTCGAAAATATAGTAGACAGGATTTTGTCTCGCGTCGAAAAGAGAAGAAAAATTTATGCGCGAAAGAGTCAATTTTCTCTCCGTTCCGAAATGGAACGAGAAATTGCAATAGATAAAACGGATGACTCAATTATGCGATGTATTTTTTATTACTCCGCTGTTATTACGTGCCGCACCTAAATTTAATGAACATCAACATTAACATTGAGTTGTTTGCAGCGTAGCTGCGGGAAAAGTCGTCGCGCAGCTTTTAATATGTCTTGATGCATATCGTCGACCGTTTAAATGAGTTTATGATCGGTTCATTGCTTCGAGGGGATTCCTCTCCTCGTCGCGGAGCTCGAATCCGTCGAGGCGCCACATTTTCAGGAAAATTTAAGTACTATGTACGTGTACACGACGGTGACATATAACATAGATTTAAATTCTTTGAGCGACGAAGACGAGGCGGCCCGGCGGCTGCTGCGGCGCACCTTTATTTTCACAAATGCATGCAACCTTCGATAAACGGTGATGGACTCTATAACGAGTTTACGCGAGTTTGCGAAGTGGTTATCACCGGCGTCGACACGGACAGTCTTCGCTTTTAATCCGTTTCCCAACTTTCCCGGCTGGTCGTACGTTTCCTTTATAGGGGCGACTGTATAAATGCATTTCTCGTTAGGGGAAATTTGACGAACAGCATTACGCACATCCGCGTCGATGTTTTTTCCCCGGAAACTTACACGAGCCTTGCCCGTCCGTTGTTGGATTGTTTTTGCAAAATATCACGAGGGAAATTGCGACAACTCGACAAGAATGGACGTACGCCATTTTCTCGTGGGAGAGGGGGCTGTTTGTATTAATACGGGATTGCACGTCCCGCGTTGCGAGGGAAACGACATTTCCGCGCGACAGGTAATTTGCTATTCCGCTTTAGAATTAGCCGACTAATTGCCACGGTTTCATGATGAGGGCGAATTCGAAGCTCGCGGAAACACACCGTGTACACGTCGCGACACGTGTAACGCCGCGCAATGAGCTCACCGCCGCGCGCGCGAGATCTCTGTCGCTTCTAGCTTCATTATTCGTCTCGTGTCTTCTTAATATCGGCAGATCAATAGAGCGGGCGATTGGCGTGACGAAATTCTCGTGCCGAGTCCGCGCTACTTTGCAAGTGCGTAACGACCGCGATGGACCGCGCAAACTGCGAGAGTGCAAGCGTCAGCTTGAATATGACATCGCAACTCTACTCGTCGATACTAACGGGTAACGCTCGAACGTGCTGCTGCTCGATGCCGATCAGGAAACAGCGAGGAAAGCCAGAGCGAGCCCTCCGAGTGTGCGATCGATGGTAAACTTGGTCGTACGTGTAAAAATGTAAAAAAAAAGAGAGGATTTTCGTCGACCAACGATCGGGGTCGATTTAGAAGTATTCACGGAAGAGTGCAAGAAACGCGCGAAGGTGTCGTCGATGTGGGAAGCAGCCAACATGTTCGCGTGCCTGTGGAATTTTTTCGACTGGTAAGACGTGTAATGGCATTTATTTGTGTATAAGGCGCCGGCTATAACGCGGAAAACTTTTATTCAGAACACCTGTTTTTCATTCTTCCTTCTTTCAGGAATAAACCGATCACTATCATTTTCTACTTATCGAATCTCGCCGTGATATCTCACATCCGCATCTCGATATTTTCCGTATCTTGTTCAGAAACTCCTTCGACTCTTATCTTGCGCGTCGCGAAAGGAATTTTAATTACTGGCTGAAAGCGAGTATAATTAAAACGAATACAATTAGAATAATATCACGGGTCGATAATCGTACAATCTTGCTTTCATTAATGACGCAACATATTATGCGATATTTTCGCGGCTTAAAATCGCTCTCTTGTAACCCGCGTTTTTTATTAATTCACAAAGGCGGAAACGGGCATGATGGAATTCGTTCGGCCGACTGCAACTTAGCGTTTCATAATTCGTCGGAAACGCATTAGCGGGCGCATACGGCGAAGGACGCGATAAATCCTTTCTCCTTCATGCCATCCTCACATAGACTTATTAGTTTATTACAGGCAAAGTACTTACTCGCTTCTGATCAGATTTCCCGAGCATTCATCTTTTTTCTTTGAAGAAAAATAAGCTTTTCTTTATTCGTTGTTTTATATATTTGTGTGTTTATGTATTTGTGTGGGTATGTAATTATGTTATACAATATTATAATTTTATACATAATTATATGTACATACATATACACATATAATTATATGTATTCGAAGAAATTGTATTCTGCTGTTGCACTTGTCGTTACCTATCTCTTCTTATCTTCATTTTACTCGCGAAATATTTCGAGACAATTGAAATAAAAAAAATAGAGGCTTCGCAATGGAAGCACGAAGGTCCGTAATGCAATCGCGATATCGCCGGACGATTTGACACAGAGCAAGTTCTACCTTCGTCTTCCATTACTTTTTTCCTCCCAGACAATTTTCAGTCCCTCCCTTCAGAATATCCTCTCTAGACAATTTTCAGTCTGTATCTCAGTTGTCCACATTATTATTTCATCATTCCAACGTTTCGTCCGTTATCATTGTGCGAGGAAGATGTTCAATTGTAACTGCTTGTGAAACTCCGAGGAATATGTGCGAGGAGATCCACATCAAAAGAGCGCTATGACTGATTCATGAAACTGTGCATGAAACACACAAATAGCATCACTCCTTCGCCCCTCCATCCAGATGATTGAACAAAGCGAATACTATTTTTGTTATACCCGAGTATTTTGATTGTATTATTGTTCGTCCAATATTTCGTGATCAGTATCTTTTTTTTTATAAAAAATTCAACTGCAACCACTTTAAAATCTATAGGAATGTGCGCGGAGTAAAAATAGCGGAAATTGGACGAATATCTTGTTTTTCCAACTTTGATCGCGAAGCTCGATAAAAACTAACATCCTGCAGAAAAATTTTAGAAGTAATTATTTGTCTAAATTATTCAGTTTTATCGTTCCAAAATAGCTATGAGCGAATGAGACGTAAATAACGCGAATGTTTGTCAACTCCAATCTCATCGAGGAGATCAATAAAAATCAAGTCCCGCGGGAAGGTTGGGAGATTTTTCGACATGCCTTTGTCGATTGCGTGTTTTAAAATGTATTCTCGCGGCGCGTAGCCGTAGAGATCTCCAGTCGAACATCGCCCACAAAGTAGACGCGAGAATGTCCGAAAAAGCTCAAGCTCTTCTTCTCTTTACCCCTGTATCTTTTTCCATCTCTCGTGACGCGCCCGTAGGATATGTACGCGCGAATCACTGCCGCCTCTGTACCGTGCATAAACCCGTCTGCTATCGAGCCATCGCTTCGATACATCTGGAGCTTTTTCATCTGGCTCGTAGTCGCGCGAAATGTGCGCGAAATGTACGCGCTGGTGAAAATACGGTCGAAAGAGAAGTACGGGCGAATAGAGCGTAGTATATCCGACGAGATCGACGTGGCATCGAAGCGAGGTATTGTAGCCTACGTCGCGATAAAGGGATGATTGTTGTCGATAAGGGAAGCGTGGGTGAAATGCGTATATAGGTCAAGCATGCCTCCGTTAAATTTGACTGTGCACATATGTGCGTTGTCCAGTACTCCCGTGCATACTCCCGTCTATGTCTCTCAAATTAGGGTTTATTAAAATTAAAAAAAATTAATTAAGAGAGAGGAAAAATTCTAAGCATTTACTCAGTTAACTTTATACCATTTTACCATTAACCTCGCTTGTTCGACGTGCCTTATACGGCAGCTTCTGGCACTGGGGCAAACTCTCAACAAAATGCTCATCCGCGGAACTCAACTACTTGCAAAATGCTATTTGTGCAAAATGGGAATTGCAACTTGACAAACATAATTCATCTCTTCGCGCTGGCTCCGTTGTTTCGTTACGCAAGCCCCTTTGTGTGTCCGCTTACAAGTGGAAGTTCGCCCGCTTTTAAGCGTCCTATTCCTCCTCGTACGATGGGATTCTACTATTTTCACCGAACGAACTTTTCGCCATGATTATCGATCGGCTACCTAGGTCATGTGGCGAGGGATTGCACTCACTGGGAAAGACTTGCACGACTGCGACACGTGCGTCGCGTACGGCATGCGCGATATATAAAGGTCCATTCACACATACCATTGACGGTATATTCAGAATAATAGCGTAACGGCATTGTGGTCACGTTGTTATGATATTTGCGTTTTGTTGATTGTCGCTCGTGTGCAACGTAAAATTCGACTACTGTGGTTGTATCCAGTTAAAAAAAAATTATAAAGAATTAGAAGAATATTGTGATATAAATTCAACGATACGAAAAAAGGGGTGAATATTTGCAAGTCTAGACGATTATATGACGTCGAATAATGCGCTGCAAATTGTTATTAACTGAAGGCTTCGAACGTGTAATTGATTACAAATACGCTCAATTGTTACATGGCACAACGATGATACGATATTATATTGAAAGCAGATACGAAGAGCTCTATACAGAAACAATTTGCGATCTTCAATGGTATTGTTGCAATTGACGCGATTCTGAATGATCGCGTTACTCTAATTAACTGTTCAATTTATGACTTATGTCGTGCGGACTATTGATAAAATAAACATGTAGGTATATCTGTCGCGCGCGGCGTGGGATGTAAATATTAAATTTCTAAAAATAACAGTTCTACCGCATATTTTATCCGATATTGTGGAGATAAGGGGTCGGAAGGTCACGAGCGAAAATCGACGGAGAGACACGAGAAAGGGAGACGATTCGCCGTTGCCTCGAAAGGGGATCCATTCTGTTTCAATTATACTCTTGGGATGCTATGAGAGGAAATGACGTATTGATGTATATACCACGACCGACAAGACGCCGTGTATCGATCTAAACCGGTGTAAACTTCATGTGCACTCATCGCTACATGTAGAATATCAGGCTCGAAGAGCGTGTCGTAATAATTAACTCACAGCTCGCTGAGTTTATAATTTGCATCGATAAATAAATTGCAAATTTTCCGATTGTACAGATACGATCATATTGTATTAATTTCGATATATTTTCGGATTCTGTCAACGGCGGTGACATAAACAATTAAGATTTTGATCTAGTTTTCTATTTGTTACTCATAAAAATTCCGTACGTTTTTGCTGCGTCATTAAATGAATTCTTTATATGACATGATTTTTATAAATCACTATTTGAAATAACGATCATTTCCTGCATTAAACCTATACGTAAACTACTTATTTCAAGCTTATTTCAAAAGTGGTAATAGAGATGCCGACAATTTTAAAAATCTTTATATCGAAGTACAGTTTTCCAAACAAAAAGTTTATAATCTTGTTTGTCGCCTCATTGAAATTCATACTATTTCTCATACCGCGTGTATCACTTTCGAAAGAAGCATCCTCGTGTAGCGCTGGTTAGCCGACCTGTAAGCTGCGAGATAACTTTTAGTCCCGCGATCAATATTCAACGGGGCAGCTTGACAAAGAGCAACAGGATGCATCCGCTGGGAAGTTAACATAAATTCTCCAACTAATATCCTGTCTTACACCATTAAGCTCGGCGCGCTTATAAATTAGCCTTGGCGTACGGTTTATTTTGCTTTCCCATAAATTTCATACCGGCTGCTCTCCGGAGCAGCCAACTGTCTCCCCGGCAGTCATCTCGCGAGTCACTCAGCACTTACTCAGACTTCACGACAGAGAGAGGCAAACGTAAAGTCCGCCGATAAATTTCTTCGGCGACGGTAAGCCGCGGTCTGCGGCTGCGGAAAAGGCAGAAAGAAGGAGACGAGAGGAGAGGACGGAGGTGGCGGGAAGAGAAAGAACGAGGGAAAGGACGAGCGGAAGCAGCTTTATCGACTAGACCCGGCCTGTATTGGGACCTGCAGATACCTGCAGGAGTCGTTCGCCATGTTTGTCCCACTTGTACGTGTTTCACGACGACAGCACGACTACAATGCTTCTCGCTCAACTTTCGGGAATTAAAAAACGAAAGAGAGAGAGAGAGAGAAACGGCGGAACAGCCGATCCGCATGCAAACTGCCGGAAGAGAGTAAGCTCGGGAAAAGCGACGCGTTTTCATGGAGCTCATACTCGGGAGGATCCTCTTACGTTCTTCCAATATGAAGCACAACGAGACGAGCAAGCACTTCGCGTCGGTTTACGCGAGGAGCTTTCATCCAGGATGCAAAAATATTTGCGAGTTCTTGGTGAAGAGGCTTTTCATGCACGTCTAGCCCCGTCTCGCTCCGCTCCTCTCCCCTTCCGTTCATCCTTCCCTCTAGCCACAAGACCGCCTCTGGTTTTCTCTACCACTGGATTTTTTGTTCTCGCCTACATTCTCTTTCTCCTCCCCATTCAACCGCGATAAAATCGAGCGTAATTAAATATCTGTAATGTGTTTATATACATACAACGTCTAAAGAAAGATCCGATAACGAAAATTAAAGTAAGTCCGATATATATACATTCGTTCGTGAAATATGTAGGTTGCTGCCAAGACGACAAGCTCCCAATTAACTTGACTACTACATATCTATCCTCTTAAAATATGCATTTTATTCCTTCTTTATTTGCCTAAAACGAAACCTGTGTGGGACTGGAGACTCGGATATATAGGTATATACATCGTGTTTATTCAAACGATTGCTTCATGAACACGGTCGAGGTCTCTGCATTCATATGTAACCTCCACATGCTAATTTTATCCTGACCTTCCCGCGGATGCTGCGTTTCCTATCCGGCAAGGTCATCCGTGAAAAAAAGATCCCGTTTATATAACTTTTATACATTGCCGTCTCCCTCGTCCATTAGCGATTTATCGACGTCCAATTATTCGCGACGCTTCTTCGCATCTATTTCCGTAGGATATCGATTTCGATGCTTTCGACATGAATTTCTGGGTCAAGTGGCACGGGGAACTTAAAGCGATCGCGAGCGTGTGCGTTACGATGCTGTCGCGCAAAGGAGTAAATTTTCTCCGGCACTAAAAATACCGGAAATACGATCGTGGCTGAGAGCGTCCTGGGGAAATGACGTTTAATACGCATAAATGATATTTTAATAACGTAAATGCTGCCGTGGATTTGAAGCATATTTCTATATAATCTAGGCGCGTATACAGACCGGCGGGGATCGCATTAAACTCTCGTTTTCAGACTGTCGAGCGGCTGCCGCATGTGTTTTTAATTGTCTGCTTTACTTTGTCGCTCTCTCGTCACGTTCAACGTTACATTCGAGCACAACTACTCTAATTTCATTATGACGTGCGATACGCGATGGTGTCGTATTATTACGGTAAATATATGTCTGTAACATGAATACTGTAATAAGCGTGCAAGGAACAGCGGGAGCTTTTTCTACACTACTTTTCCACCGCGTGTTCCAAGCATACCAGAATTCTTTGATATGTTTGCCTCCGGTTTGCAGTTGGCGTTTGAAAACATTTCGTGATTATATCCTTTGCGTGTCGCAAACGATTTAATTCCCATTAAATTTTTAAGCAGTAAATTGCTAGAGATTCAAGTAATCAGAAATTTAAAATACAAATTTCATCCGAGAGATATCAGAATACTTTTATTATATTTATTTAATTTTATCCGATACCGAATATGCTAGAAGATAAACTCGCGAAATTGGAAAAGCTTTCATTTCTTTTAATTCTATCTAATATTCGCGAGTGGTCTGAAAGTTCTGGGGCATCGCGCGGCATAAACGGTAACTGCCAGAACGTATGAGGTGATAATCGCGGCGCCAGCGTTTCCGCTATATTGCCGTAAGAAGCATTCCTAACCCATAAAAGATCGGTGCGGTTGATACCGTCGCGTGGCGTAGAGACGTATGCCGCATTCACCGCGCGCCACCGCGAATAAACGAGTGTACACGCCGCGCTACATCAAAGGGTTAAATCGTGGCGCATCGCACCGCATCGCGGCGACCCAATTTCGGTCGCCCGCCGCGTGCGCGAGCGTTAAAGTAACATACGACGATGCATTTTGAGTACACTCCGCGCGACGCGACGCAGCGGTTCCTCAACGTTCGCATTTCGCATCCCCCGACGACCGCGCGGTTTCTCCGTAGCGCGGTCGTAAATGCCAAAACTCCAGGCATCGTCGCCGAGTGTCGCGTGTCGCCCCGCTTCTGTAGCGATCCGTCGTACTAGACAAGTCATTAGACTTTGCGTCTGTTGCAGCTAAAAGTTAGAATTAATTTTCTTCGAACCATCTACATAGTCGACTACAAAATAAGTATCACGATGCTTGCGGGTTCATATTCAGCAACATTTGCGACTCTCCACTATTTTCATTTTGCTGTTGTATGATCGCACAATTACATTATCGAATAATTGGATTATTATTATCGTTATGTGTTAGAATAGTTCTAATTAATCGTACTTTTTGGAACGTTTAACATTGAAAATTGTCGTAAAGAACAGAGATTTTTCTGAGACGTAACAGATTTATCGTACTTGTACGTGAACATCACGTTTTTACGGCATGCCTCGTGTAGAACTCGTTTCGTATTTTATTTCGGTCTTATAGCGCCATTTGGAGGATTATCATGATCGCTAAAACAACGAAAAGGAAAAAGTCAATAGCATCGTCTTTTACGAAGACGTGGACTTTCGAGCACGGTTGTGGAAGAGAACGGTAGTTTGGCGATCCCGGAGATGGAAACAGCTCTATTAGGACGCACGCGAGTGCGGTTTAGTACGTTGGTTTTTAATTACATCGTGAAGCTCAGGAGTTATAGGGCGCGGAATCTCCTTTTCTCTCTCTCTCTCGCTCTGGATCAGACATTAGAGCAGCAATTTTGCGCCAATTAAGGGCAGTCATTAAAATCCGCGCGTACAGTCGCGGACTGCGAGCGGATCGGAAGACGCGAGCCACGCAACGGAGTCTCTGGAATTTCATTTGGACGCTATTCCGCTTGCTATTCCAGATGAATGCGACGTTATAATGGCATTAATCATTCCGTCGTCGACGTTGCAGCGCAACGCGCGTCCCGTTACAGTCGATTATCTTATCATCGTCTAAATGCGATTGAATTCTAATGCCGGGTAAGATCAGCGAGCGGCATTCAGCAGGGGCGAATTGGAAACGGATCGGCAAACCGATCGGCAATCGAATCTGCGGTTTCGGCAAGCCGATACGTTGCTGTCGCTTTCATGCAGCTTTTTGGGTAATCGACAATTTGACGTCATCAGTCGACTATACGCGGCCTCGCCCGTCAACGGATTGACCGATCCCGCAATTAGAATGCGGGGAAAGACGGGTTTAGAAAAGATTGATGTCTATAAAAGAGAAATCGACGTTAATTATAATAACCCTTTCGAACAGTAATCTGACTGATTATTCGGATCGGATTCATCTACGTGCGCGGCGTCTCGTTCGGAAAGGTCGCGAACGAATATCTGTAATACGTCGATTTTTCAAGACTTTTTTCGGAGGGTATAACGATATCGAACACACTCGATGCGATATCGAGTTACTGTATTTAGCACGATATTGGATGACATTACATTTTACACATTGTATCTCGATGGCGATTGAGACGGAAAGATTCAATTATCGACGCACGCGGGAACGAGATACTCTTGCGTCGCGCCGGGAGCTCGATGACATCGATTTATAACAGTTCTCACGATTTCGGGAGATTAAATCGAATCAAGTCGAACTGATAAAATGATTCAGGCGCTTTAATATCGGGCAACACGCGCCGGGAATAGAAAATGGAAATTCGACGGGGGTTTTGCCGCGTGTACCGGTGATCGAGGCGCACGCGGGCATCTCGTCACGTGCAATGTCCGGCCGTGGCCGCGCGCCACGACGGACAACAACGACGACGGACCGCAGAGCTGTACGGAACGGGCGTACGTGCTCGCCGGTCTCAGGAATAAAACCGTCCGGGAAACGATAAATCGATCTCTCCCGCTAACCGAGGCGACTTTCTGAACGAACGGCCACGCGTCACGTCGCGCAACCACCACATTGCACCTATCGACGGTGCAGCTCGGGTAATAAAAAGCGATGGCGCGTTATGCCTTTGCGACTGCACGGCGCGCAAGGGCATCCTGTGCATAGTGTGTTGACCCTTTCCTCCCTGTGTAGTGTGCAGGCAAATGCCATTGCTACATCTCGACGGTTGCCACAACAGAACGTGACTTTTCGTATATGTACAGGAATGGCGAGGAGAGGCAACATATACGCCAGTCACACTAATTTTTTTAAGAAGAACACACGCGAACATATGATTCTCTCGTAAAAGGGCGATACTGTAATAAAGGAAATGGGAGGATAAAGCGACATGAAGAATAATGAAGCTAGTGAAATGTTCCATTGTTTAAATTTCACGACGCACTCGAAACGAGTCGTTTTGTCGTCAGTTTCAATTATTTTACCGTTTAATTTAACCGGGGTGATTCGTAACCGCGAATGTCCACCGGTTTTCTAAAGGAACAATGCGTGTTTCGCGTATAGCATTACATTATTTCAATATGCAGTCACTGCTCGGTATGATGACACTCGGTTCTCTAGCGCGGAAAGTTTTATTCGACGAGTCGGAATGAAACTTTCATTTCAGAGCCTTTTTTTTAGGCGCCGTGGTAGGTATCGACCGGTCTTTCCGTCTGCATGGCCTGCAATAAATTTTCAATGCTGCCATATCGAAAAACACCGAGGCGTAGCTTCGTCGTCCGTATTGTCTGAGAATCGAGGTCGAGATTCGTCCGCGAGTCACGCCAGCGGAAAGTGACGATCGCTCGATATCGTTCGACAGGCATTGAGACGATTATTTTTGAAGAGTAGCGGAAGTCGGAGAGAAAATGTAGCAAAATATATTACGAAAGAGCGATACAGTGAAAAAGGCGAGATATTCACAATAAAATGTCAGATTTAGCGGATGACGTAAAAGCGGATTTGTTTGCCCCAAGGAATTGGTTAATTATAAATGTAATAAATGATAAATTGTGTTGCATTCCCCGTCGCAAGTGTCTCAAAGTCAATTTTTTTTCTGTTACAGGCTCGACCAGCCGGTGACCAGCTCTACGCCCGGAATGGACAATAAAAAGGTAAAGTTATCTGATATTTACCAATAAATCGACGTGCGATAATTTATCCCGTAGATATAATTCCTGAAAATTATATTTACGTTTCTTCTCGAGAGAAACTCGACCAAGATAGAATTTATCTTCATGAAGACGCTAAAATTACGACAAAATCGCGTCGCGGAGTATTCGCGTGGTGGATCGCTATAAATAACGGTCGTTCCCACGATCGATTATTACTTACTGTTTGGAGCCGCAACGTTTAATGAGTTGCATGCCGACCGCGGGGTCTTTATGTGAGCGAGAATGGCAGAGGTTTAGCGCGGCGAACCATCCGCGCTGCTCTCCCAATTAGAGGCATCGCTCGAATTAGCATCGTGTGACTCGGCGATTACCTCGTTGGGGATAATGGCCGAGCGATACGAATCGGCCGTGATTTAATTCGACGCCGCCGCGAGACGAGGAGGGTGCAGGAGGGGTGAGAGAGAGAGAGAGAGAGAGCGAAAGTTTACCGCGAGAGAGTTCGGCCGGGCTTTTCCTGTTCCGCGGAAACGAAGTTTCCCTCGGGAATCGGGATCGGCGAACCCGGGGAGTTTCGTCTTTTTTGGTCGGTCGAGCCGCCCGCACTCGCTTCCGTCGTCGAGGAACTGCGCGCGAGCAGCTCTTGTAATTTAACGGATTACCCGGGCGACTCCTCTTCCGTGTCCGGCTTTTTCGTGGCGCGCGACGAAAGCTCGTATATGGGAAATTTCAGGGACACGAGACGGACGACCGTGCGCCGAAGGCGAAACCGGACGACGGAACGTTGCGCTAATGTTCTTCCGCAATTCCTGCGTAACGTTCGCGGCTGCATCATTCTCGCGAGGAGAGATCAATCACGAGGGACTTCCTCTTGCATCGACAATGCACGTGTTACTTGATGTATCCTCCGGGAGAGCAAATGCCCAACGGTGCATTGTATAGTTCTTACCGTTCGCGATTTAGGGGCACTCTCTATGCGCTATACGTGCGCGCGTTATAAAACGTGTGTCGTTTGCGAGTTTCTCAAAGAGAAACGTCCGCGGCACTTTGTATTCCTGAAAAATACAGCTCGTGTTATCGGTGTTTCTTCGAGAGCGTCAGAAAACTACGGGCGTTCGTACCGAGGACATGGGGCATTTTCCGGAGCTTCTCTCCTCTTATGCCCTTAGATGAAATATGAAATCGTATCTAAGCGAGTCTCTTGTTGACGGTGGCCCTTCTAACAATATAAGAAGCAAGATCTGACAAGTGTCGCGTCTGAAAGCGCCATGTTGTCGGCATAAGGGCACAGCATTGCGCGTAACGTCGTGATTTTCCGGCGTACGAATTCTTATATAGATGCTCGTAAACCTAAATTTGCGATTTGTGAATAAATTTGTGATTTACCGTCCATAAATTTTAATAACGCACGAAAGAACACGGCGGAAGAATATTAGGAAATGGCATATTGATTTGCTCAGCGTCGTAAACTACTTCCTTATGACGCTACTTCCCGTACGATGTTAATGCTAGCGTTCTATCGTTCGATACAGAGCAATATCTCGCCATTGCGCGCAGTACATCACGAACGAAACTTGCGAGCGTCGCAAATATATAAACTATTTTCCGTCGCTGGCTTGCATTCGGAATCGGGGGGATGTCTCATAAAATTCGAAAGAAAAACGGAGAGCCAGGTGGGACCCGGGCGAGATAGAGAGAGAGAGCGCGCGCGCGAGCGGTAAATTATTCATTTCCACGTCAGGAATGGAGTTTCGAGTGTTTCCCACGACCCTCTCCAATCTTTTGTACCGAGACCGATACGCTGGCGCTCTTTTGCGCATGTATTTTTAAATCTAATGGGAAGGTAGAGGGAAATCGATAGGAGGCTGCATAATACACCGGGTCTATTTCGAGGATTAAATCCGACCGGATTTTGCAGAGGCACGTGCTCGTCATTGAAAATGCATCCGGCTGCCCAACGTCCACCGAGTAATTAGTTATTTAGCGATATTGGTTTTGTTCGTCGAATACCGGCGCGCCTTTTTCTTTTCTTCCCGACAAGCGTGACGGGAAGAGGGAAATCGACAGATCGGACGAATTTCACGTTCGAATGGCGAATGGCGCTATCGCTGCGGGTCTTTTCTTCCTTTTTCGTTTCCATGGCTTTTCATTATCGGATAGACGTTCCGAGTGGCGTGGCGAAATTTTTGTCGGCCAACGGCAATTTTGCGCGATAACGTGGCGCGTCGGCAAGCGGAAAAACGGATTTCGATCAGCCGCATTCGGGGAAGGCACCGAATAAAAGGTGTCGAGATCTCGGCCGCGTGGCTGATCGTGGCGAGAGAAAGATTCCAAATTTCACCGAAGATTTATTGCTTCCAGCTTTCTATCTTCATCCCGCGGGATCGCATTTACCTTGTAAATCCTTCGAATTTAGAAAATGTTTCAAGCTATTCAACACCTTATTTCAACACCATACGATATGACACGTGAACGTCTTGTAAATAATATCAATAATATCATGTTTCGCATTGCCAGCATATTTAGAAGTCGCGTAATAAAATCTATATTTAATCACATTTTTATATGTTACGTTAATTGAATGAATGCTTTTTAAAATTAGGTTTGCTCGTTTTAAAATCGTACAAATATATATTAATGAGTGTCACCGTGTTAAATCTTGCGATTAATTTCGCCTTGATAAAAATTTAATTAGATGTCATCAATTCTACTCACGATCCTCAAGTTTTATAAACATAATAATTAAATTTAAAGTGAAAGTTCTATATATAGAACCTTCAGTCTTTCGAAATTAATTAAGAAGAAACGAGCGATTAATCTTAACCTTTATTTAACCGATTTTTCGTCCTTTTTCACTTCAAGATAGGACAGTTCTAATTTAAGTAAATTAAATTCAACTGACATTGATGTAACGTCGGTCGTAAGATTTGTAAATGAGTGTCTTGATAAGAAAAGGGCGCGTTTTATTTTACAGATTGTCCAGTCGAGCACGCCGCCCGCCGTACCTGTTCAGGTACGTAGCAAGCACGATGGCTCGGGGGTGGCAGCTTCCGTGTCGGGGGTGCGCAGACGGAGCGGTCCTCAAGCGGGTCTGCGCTCGCCCGCCGCAAAAAGGCCCCTCTCCGCTCCCGTTGCGCTGCAGGGGTGGTTGTATAAACAAGGCTCGGAGGGTCTCATGCTGTGGAAGAAGCGTTGGTTCGTCCTCTCGGAGTACTGCCTCTTTTATTACAAGGGTGAGTTGTCCGCACGTTGTACCATCGACATATTCCTTTTGCGTATTTCAGCGTTTCTTTTTCCTGCTATTTTTGCCCTGAACGTAATGCTGCCGCATTACGGTACCGGTTTTAATGAGCTTTATTAGTCGGAAGTACAGTACAGCTCGTTCGGGATTCAATTTAACATTCGAATCCGGCAAATGTAACGTTTATTCGCTGCGTAATTATCAATTGACATTATGGACTGGAATAATCATTAATAATTATCCCAGAAGCTCCTATTAATCACCAATCCAACGGAAATTATAAAGTTAGTTATTAGTATAAATAAGCCCTCTCATCAACCGTATTGCGCAAATCGAACGAATGAGATTTTAATAGCCATTTCGCAGGAAATTGATATCCTTTGATAATTTCAGATTTCTTATAATAAAATCTAACTGACAAAAATGCAGCTTTTGCAATCGTGCAATAAAATAACGACAGTTTTCATTTTAAGGTAAATTATGATTTTTCAACAAATAGTTATTTCGAACGGTAAAAAAATCACTTCCAAGAAAATAAAATTTCTATTTCATAAACGTCAATGTCTCCAGAGTTTTTATTCGTATATGCTCTATTTACGAACTTTTATTTTGGTGCATTTACCAGATTCGCGAAAATATTCTGGAGTTCCGCCAAAAGTCTTATCCTGTTTTACGCCTTGCTAGTCTAGATCGCACAGACGACCAATTTCCAGTCGTCTTGGACGCCGTTGCTCGTCTAATCTCGGTTAGGGGCGCTAATTACTCTCGGACTCTTTGATTCGGTACGAGGATTCGTGCGCGGTCGCAGCCAGAGTCCAGAGATACGTCTCGCTAAAGATACACCCCGCGCGCGGCTTGTCTTCCACATCATCCGAGAAGGAAGTTTTCGTTGGAAGTTCGCAGCAACTCGGCGCGTCGTTTACGAACTTTGGTTAAATTAGATTTGATGCATACCGCCTTCTAATTAGCGGCCTCTCGAGCCTCCTCGAGTATCTTTACCCACAAAAGTAACTAATACTCGATAACAAGCTCTTCTCCCTTATCGTCCTGCTCGCGCAGATAGGCTTACTTGAAATATCAAGAGCATTAATTGATCTCCCGTGTTTTGAAAGAAAAGAATCTATTATTATACAGGTATTAATCTCTTAAGCGAATCTTCGCAAAACTTTTAAATTTTATAATCCTCCTTACATTTTTTTCCTCAAGCTCTCTTAAGTCTCAAAAATATATTTCTAAATCATTTTGTCGATATTTGTAAAATTTATGAAGCTAAAATGGAGAATGTGTGAGTTTTTTCATGTGCTATTATTTTGTTATTTTCGTATTTTTAATGGACGTTTGATAGAGAATAAGAAGTGTTTTGAATTTTTGCTTCAAATAAATATACGAGGCGCAAGGAGCACTGTCAAGAAACATTCTTTTCACGTCGCTCCACTCATAGCTTTATATGTTATTATTAACCCTGATCAAAGAATTCTAAAGTGTTGTTCGGAGCCAACAATAAGCACAAAACTTCAGTCATGAAGATATTTTCGTTTTATTGTTAAATGTACAAATAACAGCTTCTGCGCATTTTAAAATAAAACGAAAATATCTTTATAACGGGAGTTTGAAGTCTGATTATGAAATGTGAAAAGTTTGATCTTGTACACGCTTAATTGCTTTAACCACAATAGAGTTTATGTATAAACAATTAGATTTTACATTTCTAGTTATCGAAATACGAAAAAAGTATCTATGTGGATTAGTTAATTGAAATTCCACAGTCTGTAATTGATAAAAACTTTCGTTTATCGTTATTCTGGCATTTATCGTAAGCGGATCGCTCAGCTTGAAATTAATTTAGACTGAAATTTCAGCTTGTCCGAAACGTGCGAGAATTCGATTCGTTCGCCGAGATTTTGGCGGTGGCGGTTATACGTGATGTATATACATATGTACATACGAACACACATTTAAAAATCTGCTTTTATCTCGTTCGATAAAAATCCGTGGAATTTCGTGTCTTTTGATATTTATATCGCCATACAATATCGTGAACCATAGCAAATATGCAAATATTTATTTTTGCAAATGTTTAGTTATATGAAAGTACACGCCTGTATAGACATAGTGCATCAATCATAGGAATAGACTGTAGAGAAAATTTCGAGTTAAAAATAGAGAGAGAAAGGGAAGAGAGAGAGGATATTGCATATTGAAGTTATATCATCAAATGGTATATTTGAGCTAGTCAGGATTGAAAACAGGATGCAACAAATATTTTTACGTTTGACCGACTATCCGAACGTGACAGCTGCAGTTTCATTACGCGAGATGTATGGAGATATATCGTAGTCATGTATTTGGTATTTTTTGCGACCAAAAATTAAGACACATTGTGTGTGTGTGTGTGTGAAATATCGCGACAGCGTGCGCATAATTTGCGAGTTTTAACGCGAAATTACTAAATTAGATATTGCACCCTGATTTTGTAAATAAGATCAGTCTCACTCTCGTAACTTTTACTGCAACGTAGCAATTTACTAATTTTCAGGCCCGGAGGAGGAGAAACTGCTAGGTTCGATATTACTACCTTCGTACAGAGTTACCGTCTGCAAACCCGAGGACAAAGTCAACAAGAAGTTCGCCTTCAAGGCTGAACACGCGAACATGAGGACTTACCACTTCGCGGCTGACAGTCGGGAGAGCATGAACCAGTGGGTGAATGCTCTGACTCTGGCGACGCTTTTGCAAGATCCTAGCCCGTAAGTTCCTTGCACGCATTTTTAAGTTGTTTCAAATACTCACGGAAAACACACGGTAATTATGCAATAAGGTGTAATTATGTGATAACGTGAAAACCGAGAACAAGCACAGCTTACGGCCGAGCTCATCGATACGTTGTTGATCATAAGAAATTAAGTAAATTTAATTATTCAGTCCTAATTAGGAAATGCTAATGCGAGCCACCTCGAGTCGCCACGCTTTCGACGTTTAATAATTATTGGTTTATAAAACGAGGAGCGTCTGCATCTCTTATTGCTTTTGCCATTACGCAACTTGAATAAATAAACGGATACGAAGAGCGAAATGCAGTGATGTGATCGAAAAAAAACTAAGTTTTTTTTTAAATCCATTATTGTAATAATCGCTCGCGCTATTCTGCTATACACGTGAGCGTTTTAATTCTTCATATGGCGCATCGCTTTGTGAAAATAATCCTCCTAGTTTCAAACTCTCCCTCACTCGTTATTTTCTTCTGTATTCCGCTTCGTATTCGTAATACAGTTCCGTTTCACGCATCGCGCGCACCTGTATTTTGTCCGCGTGGAAATTTCGTTCAATTTTGCCTCTCATTCTTCTCGACCCTATTTTCTACATACGATTCAATAGCGATTTTTCAAAATTGTTGAATTCTAAAGCTTTTGAATATTATAAAAACTTTACCGGTCCATCACAGATTACTTCTCTCTTTCTCTCTCTCTTTCTCTCTCTCTCTCTCTCTCTCTCTCTCTCTCTCTCTCTCTCTCGAAAATCTTATCTTCTGTGAGCCATCGCGAAAATAAACGGTCCGCTTTTATTCTCACGATGGAATGTCTCCCCATTGTCTTAACTACGCCCGACGTCGCCCTGAAAGATGTCATTTTTTAAGACGACATCTCGACATTAAGCTTCGTCCGGAAATCCGAGCGAAGATCCCGAAATTAGCTCGGCGCTGCAACGGTGTGACGATGAACATCATCCCTTTGACGCGCCACGAAGGAAACTGGGACGGCACGGCCACCCAGCGTTTATTTGCACGCGAGAGTATCGCGATGCGGTCGTTGCAGCGCATCTGTCGTTCGCGCGTTATCGCGGCGTAACTAACCAACTCGTTAGTTAGTTTCTCGAGAGTTATTCGACCCGCGAGATACCGCCGGTGGATGAGCCCGGGCCGTTGTCCATTAGCACGTCGTCAGCGACACGCCGACGCAGCAGCGGACAACGGACGCTTCTCGCATGAGTTTTGTCCTTGTTCATATTTTAGTTAAAATTCTATTTACATCGAAAAACGGTTGAAGCGTTAGATTTTTAGCATGCACGTTAGTACCTAAGTTACCTAAAATAATGTTAAAAATTAATTTCTTTGCATTTAGTAACATGAGACATTTTCAAAACTCGGAGGAAAATGTATCTTTTTTTATATGTATATGCTTCGTATACCCGACAACTCAGTAATCCTATTAATGTTCCACATGACTGGTTTTCAAGTTGGATCAACACGACATTTATTATAATCTTGCGATTTTGACTGTTTAATTACCGATTATTTGATTGATCTCGGGTTTCAACATTTTATAAGCTCGAAAATCCAGAACGAATAATGTGGACTAAAATTAATATCAGATTTCTCTCTCAATTTTACGTTTTATCAGTGGTGCGGGCGAAGCCGCGGTAGTCATAGAGATAGCGCAGGACGGCGAACGAAGCGCCCGGCCTAGCGTCTCGTCGATCTCATCGATCCTGAATCAGAGCGCCGACGACAGCGACTCCGGCTTCCATGGCTTCCAGTCGCGCGACGACCCCAGCCATGCCTCCAACAACAACTCCAGCCCGAATAGCGCGAACACTGCCTCCTTCCCGAACCTCAGCGGTAGTAACAGCAACGGCAATTCCGCCAACAACAATCACACGAGTGACTCGTCGAGTCACCCGATGATGAACGGTTGGGTGCAACAGTCGTCGCCGTACGGCCAGCCCAGCACCTCTCAGCCGCAGCAGCAGCAGCACCAGCACCAGCAATACGGGCACTTGCTCCCGCAGCAACTGACCCCGGGCCATTCGCACCAGCATCAGGCGTTGCTTCATCATCACTTGCCACATCAGAACGCGCTTCCGACCCATCAGTCATCGCATCCGCACAAGGTCCAACAGTCGCCGCAGCAGCAGCCGCCACAGCCCCAGCAGCTGTCGCATCCCGGCTCGGGTGGCGTTCAAACGATGCAGCCTATGCCTCGAACAAAATTCGGACAGCCGATTTACGCGAACGCGCCGCCGAAGCCTAGAAGACTGACGGATGGCTCTAACGAGTACTCGACGCCGTCGCCGGATATGGATTACCGGAAGAGTCCGGTATCGCCGGACGTCACGGTGACGAGCAAGAGTCCGATGTCCGATTACGAGAGGAGCAACACGATATACGGCACGCGGATTCCACCGTCGCAGCAGAGTCTGCGAATCGACAAATCGGGCCTGAATTACTATGGCCAGACCACTCAACCGATGGAGAGGAGGACCCCGGACACGTACGGCCGTAGTGCGAAGCCGAGGACTAGTAGCAGAGGCAACGGCGACTACGAGGAGGTCTACGGCACCCCACAACTTTATCAGAGACCCGCGGGACCGGTGGGCTACACCAAGGGCGTGTCGCCGGCGCCCATTCCTATCCCTCTGTACGCGCAACATCTGCAGCAACTGCACTCTCCCGTCACGCCGCCGAACAGTGAGTCTTTGTGCACATTTGCTTTGCTCTTTCTGTGCTTAGGTGATCCCTACAAAGGCGCTCGTAATTAGTATGACCGGCATTTCATTCCGGCTGTACCCTCCCCGGAGAGTAAAAGATGAATATATATTTTACACGAGAATGTGTGTTTGTAACGTCGTTCTGAGTTACAAAGCGGGCTTTCTTATCGGATTGTTAAGAACTTGTGCCCAAAAAATTCTCCAGTATTGAGGGGCGATATGCATTGTTGTATAAAAAGGATGCAAATCCACTGAAAAAAATAGGAATAATTTCTTTGATAATTCTACCGTATCGCCATTGGCGGTTGCTAGAATCGTTTTGTAGTATTATTTTGAAGTACAAAAGAAGATTTATTATTCTGAATTCCTCTAAATTAATTAATGCAATCGAGTATTAATTCGGCAATATTATAAAACTTTTTAAGTTAAAGATAATTTTATAAATAGATACTGGTTTTATGTTATCTCGTTATAATTATTACAGTAATGACTTGAATACTCTTTTTTTGCATCGCTTTAAAAAAAATAAAATTTAACTTCTTTTTACTGCATAAATTGCATAATATGTGTTACAAAAAATGTCAAATGCGTCGTTATTTAGCAAAATGCAGTAACACAAAAAGGGCGTTTATGATTTATCTTCTTTAGTGGCAATGGTAAGACAATCTAGAACTCAACCGCCGCCGCGACCGCATAGCGCAGACTTCCTTGAGTATGAAGCAGCAAGGCGACCGCAGCAGCAACCCGCGCAATGCGAGAGACCCCCGGATCAACAAAGATGTCCGCAGAGGCCTAAATCCAGCTTAGATATAATGAATCCGTCGGACACGACCAATGACGGTTACTTCTATTCCGAAGAAAGGTACGGGCGCGTAAATTCTTTATCATGGTTTCACGCACGCATCAAAGAAGAAAATTTAAAGAGAAAATTAAAATTGACCTTTGGGAAAGATATTCACTCTTTGCTCGCGCGTGTGTTTTAGATACGCGGCACAGATGCGCCAGTCCGCGGTTTATTTGCATCAGACCCCTCAACATTATCAACAGCAGAGGAATCAGTCCCTCTCGCGCGTCACGATACAACCGAAGCTGCCGGGTATTCGCGATAATACCGATGAAAGTAGGATAGCCACATTGCCAGATTCAACCTGTCCCGCTTTGAGACGCGCGCAGCGGGATCACGTACATCAGCAGCATACGATGCCCGCTCAGTCGCTGACGCAGAGACATTCCGAGTGAGTCACCAGTATACTGTCCGAATAAATGATTAAATCTTATGGAGACTTCCCCCCTCCCGTAGAATTCCAATTAAATAATTTAAAAAAGAATATATATTTTAAAGTATGCGCGCATACGTGCGTTTGTATATGTATTTTTTATATATTTAAAAAATGAATGTTTAAATATGTAAATTTAAAACAGATATCTAAATCTAACATCAACGAATTTTTTAAATGTATAGCAGTGTATAGCCATGAATTTTTAAAACACATACCAGCTCAATGTTTCTCCTACTTCGTCAACATTTTAAAATAATTGTTCAAAAAACTGTCATAAACTTCAATTCAGAGTGCCAGAATATCAGACTAAAAAAATGTTAAATGTGTTGAAAATATACTTTTCTGTCTAAATTTTACGAACCGGAATAGTACGTACTTATGTGGAAATACGGTTAAAATAAAGCAATAAAAACGGTAATATATCCTCCTATATCGGACTATGAATATAATATGCGGTACACACACACACACAATAGACTGGAAAAAGAAACGTATGCTCGAGTATTGTTTCTATCAGGATAATGGGCGCCGATCCGAAACTCCGAAGATCCTTGCGCGAGAAAAGCTGCGAGGCGAATGGCCGCGAGACGCTGACACACGGCGAGGACAACACGATCCCTCGTAGAATACCGCGCGGCGAGTACGACGGGTGGGGAAGAGCAGCAGCGGGTCACGGTGCCCACGGGACCCACATCGCTCAGACGTGTCACGCCGGTCACGCAGGTGCCAGCAGACGATGGAGCGAGCAGCAGCAGTTCTGCAGATCAGCGTCGGCGCGTCTGCCAAGGACACGGCACCCCGCCGCCTTTGATCCCGACGACGACGACTACGCCGAGAGGTCCTCCGAGCAGGATTCACGAGATGGTGAACGCAAGATTCAGCAGGTAAGTAAACGATAAATAAACGAAGATTCGTAAACGCACAATCTTCCCCCCCCCCCAAAAAAAAAGCTTCATAACATTTTGTCGCATTGTTAGCATATCCTTGTATTTTGGATATATAAACTCTTTTATAATCTATAAGATTTCTCTGTATATAATCACTGTATTTTGGATATATCGATCCTTTTATAATCTATAAAATTTCTCTGGAAAATCGGCGTGCTCTTATTTTACTTTCTAAAAAAGTTTCAAGTCTTAAAGCCGATAGTGATCGAATTAACAAATATACATTTCATGTTAATTGAAAATTTTTATAAATGTAGTGATATATATCAATGTTGGTGCTAAAGTTCTGCGACATAAAAATATTGCCAAATATTTCTAAACGAATTTCTTCGAACTCGTTTTCCGTTGGTATTCCGGAAAAGGTGGGATGAGTCATAAGAGCGATGCGCTTCTTCGAATCAGATAGCCGTAGATAGGCCATCAGCATTGCTCGTATCTCGTATCAGCTTGTACAAGACAACCGTGTCGGTAACATCGGTGAACAAGCGTGATTCACGTTAGCCCTCTTGCATAGCTGTACATATACCTTACGTCATCCTGACTCTCCCGTGTCTTTGCTTTCACCATCGTTCACTCAGTCGTTGTCATTGCTATTTCGTTACTCACACCGTATTAATAATTTTTAATAATAACTTTTAGTAATTAATAATCCCTTTTTTTATCATTAACATATCCTATTATCGGGAATTTCATGATTGTTTGTGGAGATCGATATCGATGTTTATTTCTTTCTCCAAATTAGATTCCGTGATTACAGCAGGAAATACCGTACATTTTTCTATCAGATAGCTAATGGAAAGGTTGCGTTGCGATACATTTTTCAGCGCGAAGAGTCGATGAAGCGGCTGCTGGAATGGAAGCAGCGTATGCTGCAATCCCCGCTGACACGGAAGCCATCCGGCTCGGCCAATCGGGGCAGGACGCAAAATGATCTTTCGAGTTACTACAAGCAACAGGCGCTGCTGGATTTGGCAGCGCACGAGGCCGCCGTGGCGGAGGGTCGTCACTCCCGTAGGCGGGAGGACGGGCATCGTTCGCATGTCAGGAGCAAGAGCTCGGACGGCCGTCGGACCGCCGTCAACGTGCCACGCTACAACAGCTATTCCAGCGATGACGAAGGTAGGGCTAGCTCGCCTGAACTTATCATTTAAATGGTAGCTTCGGTTGCCCCGCGTAACGAGGGACCCCGGTCGAAATATTGAAGCTCGCGCGGGCAATTACCTCCCTGTTTGGGGATATGTGTTGTGAGCATGTGCATTCTCGCGCGGAACAAGGCATGCTCGAATTGTCGGAAAAATTGTGAGTGTCTTCGCGGACAGATTTCACTGTCTTGGAGAAGAAAGGGAATTTCATGAATCTTTATGTCAAATATTTTGATCGCCTCGAGTCCCTCGAAAGCGCCCTGTCTGCGGTGTATTCAGTTAGAAGTAGATAGTTGACCTAAGCTAAAAATAATCCAATTTCTAACATGATGGTACTTAATTGCTAACACGGTGAAGTATCCAATGTGCATATTTGCTCGCGGAAACAAAGATATTTTTTCACGAAAACGCACGTCAAGAATTCCGTATTTTTGTAAATGTAATACTCGTTACGTGTAATTGAAATATGTCAAGCGATTTTATGTCCATCCTTTCCTTGTTATTGTAAATAAAATTTCCAGCATGTTTTTGTATTTCAATCAGTGACGTGTAAACAAAAATGTCTAACGAAAGTATTTACCCGATTGTGCAAATAAATGCAGTTAATGCGAGGCACCTGAATTATTCCTCACGAATTGCAAACGTTGCAAGATTGAAGTTGCTTTTCCTTCATTTTTATTTACTAACATAATCGTCGAGGAACCGATTAACGATACTGTATCGATTCGACGAAATGTGAAGTAACGATGAAACAAGAGGAAATTTAAAAAATCTGGATATCTGCGAGTGTTTCTCCGCGGGGCTCCTTCTATCTGCTGCTGTTGGGTCTAAGCTGACTGGTGAATGGGAACGATTAACAATCTTAAAACCTACCTGTCCAAATGATCGAGTATCGATATCCTATGCGACTTAACACATCGATCGTAATCAGATTACCGTAGAAGATATGGGTCAGCATGGCATGCCAAAGAATTTCACTAACACTTACTTGCCGTAGTTACGCAATTACCATATCGCTACCTTCCAGCTCGCGTGTCCGCTATCTACGATTAACCGCAAAGCCAGTCAGTCGATTATCGGGATCATTGCATCAATTACTATGATCGAATTACCCGGCGAGAAACTTTTATTCTTAATATTTTAATATTATATTCTCCGAATTTTATCGATCTCAAAATCCGAAAGTCGTAAACCTTTAAGAGCTAAAAATTCTTTCAAGAACAGTAACTTACCGCATATAAATATATAAATATATAAATATATAAATATATAAATATATAAATATATAAA